TGTGTCCCTGTGAGGAGGTGAGGATGTGTCCCCGTGGGAGGTGAGGCTGTGTTGCCGGGACGGATGCGCTGTGGTGGGAGGCGCAGGGTCTTGGCTCTGCTCACTTCCACCGTGGGGTGGGAGGCCTGACATCCAGGTCCTCATCTGCCCTTCCCGTCAGGTGGGCCCCGTGCCGTCCTTCCTCCTCCTGGGTCCCAGGCAGTCCTTTCTGGCTGTGGGCTCTTTGGCCGTGTCTGGGCCGTTTCTGAGTTCCTGCTGCTTCATCTCCAGCAACGAAGCAGGGGGAGGGTCTTGGAGGGCCCGAGGTCTCAAAGGTGCCTCCCTTCCTGGCCTTGTGTGCTGTGGCTGGGATGTCAGCTATCCTTCGAGGAGCAGCGTCCGCTCCTCTTCCACTACTCTAGGAAAAGGAACGCTCCTGGTGGCCAGGCTGTGTCAGCCCCGCATGCAGCTCCTGAGAACGCACGGGCGCCGCACAGGGCCACGTGCTCCCTGGCGGCTCAGACTGCACAGCTGCCATGCGTGTTCCTGCACCTACCCCAGCCACGCCCAGGAGCTGCCTCTCACACCTCCTTCCCACAGCAGTCTCCCCTGGTGGACAGGGCCGCGGGCAGGGCAGGCCTGGCCCAGCAAGCTGGGGACGTGTGCCCACGTCCAGGCATGCCACTGGCCACAGGCAGCCTTGCCTGGGAGGGCAGCTGCCCCCAGAGGGTGCCGGCGTCCCTGAGGCTGGCCCGGGAGGGGCTCTGGACAGTGCCCCCTGGCTGGGGTGCCATCCTGGGCGCAGCTGTGCAGCTGCCCCGCAGCCCCGCCTGCCAAGCCCGACAGCTGGGGAGCTTCCAGGGCACAGCTGTCCCCAGGCTCCTCCAGGGAAAACAGGAATGCGTCCTGTCAGAGTTAAGAGCCCGCAGGGAGGGGGGAGGCCAGCCCAGGACTGCTGTCCTCATTTGCGGCTGGAACCAGGGTCCATACTACGTAGCAGAGTGCTCAGCCCCCCTTGGAGGCCACACTGGCCCTGCTCTCTGGTTGTAGGCTCCTGGTGCCCCCCCCCCACCCCCCAGTTCCTACTCTCTTCCAGCCCCTGGCTCCTAGGACTCGTCTTTCCACAGCAAGTCAGGCCCCAGTATCTTCTTGTAGCTCTCACTGCTGTCACCAGGGCCCCCCGATCTCCCTCTTCCTGTTCCCAGCCCCCTAAATGCTCACGCTCCCCCGTCTCTGGCTCCTGCGGTCCCTCCACCTGGCCTGGCCTCATCTCCACTGGGTCAGGCACACAGCAGGCTCTTGGAGAGCAGGCCCTGCCGCTCTGCCCGGCCTCCTGGACACTGGCAGCTGTTGAGCGAGGCGATGGGCCTCTTCCAACCAGGGGCTCTGGAGACCAGTGTCTGAGGGGCCCTGCTCCTCTGTGAAGAGTGGTGGAGGCCGTGGGCCTCAGCGTGGGGCAGGCGGCCCGTCTTACCTGGGAGGGGCCCGGCCCTCGAAGGGGTTGAGGGCCAGCAGGGACAGGGCCTCGGCATCATTGGCCAGGAGCTTGCCGGCTAGGTGGAGGATCCACTCGTTGTGCTCGTAGGTCTGGGGGGGAAAGCATGCCGTGAGGGCCACATATGTCCAGGCGCAGCCGCCTCCTGGCTCCCTGCTCCGCCCTGCCGCAGGCTGTCAGTGCCATGCTGGCCTCTGGGGCTGCCTGCTTCCCGCTCTGCCCGGGGGCCTGACTTCACCCCCCTGCAGGTGCCAAGCTCAGCTGTTTCAGTCCTGCTGGAGGTCTGGCCACCTCCTGGGCCTGGCGTCCCTCTGCCCAGAGGGTGCTGTGGTGCCTTCATCCTGTACTCGCGTGACCTCCACAAGGCAGGGTCCTTGTGAGCCAGACGAGACCCTGTCAGGTGGACTTGGGCCCGGCTGGTCCTGGTGACCCTCCAGTGAAAGGTGACCTCCTTGAGTTCTCGTGGCCTCTGTGGTATGGGACCGATGGAAGCCTGCACGACCACTCGGGCCTAAAAGGGAGGACGTGCTCACCTGGAAGGCGGCGAACCACATGAGCCAGTCCAGGCGGTAGTGGTAGGGGGAGATGAGGCAGGGCCGCCTCCAGGGGTCGCCGGGCTTGCATCTGAACTCGTAGTCCTCCCACACGGCATCCGGCGCGCTGGCGTTGGGGCTGGCCGTGCCCTGCAGGATCACCTCCGTCCGCTCCTTGGTGATGCTGGGGAGTCAGCAAGGCTGCGGGTCATGGCAGGGCCACCCCGTGGTGTGGGGACGGGGCAGGGGGCAGAGGTGATGCTGGGGAGTCAGCAAGGCTGCGGGTCATGGCAGGGCCACCCCGTGGTGTGGGGACGGGGCAGGGGGCAGAGGTGATGCTGGTATCTTGCACACTTCCTCCAGGTGGGCTGAGGGGACAGGCAGACCAGGGCACGGAGGACACGGGTGCAGGCTGGCCGTACCTTCCGAAGGCCCCGTAGGTGTTGACAATCCTGAGTGGGCTGAAGGAGGTGTTCATGACCTGCCTGGAGCTCAGCAGGTTGAGGACCACGGGCACGCTGAGCCAGGCCACCAGGGCGCCCAGCGCCAAGTTGACCAGCTGCCGCACCCTGGAGCCTGGCCGGAGGGGAAGAGTCTTCAGCAGGTCTCACCAAAGGGAGACAACATTCTCACTAGTGGGGTCCTAGCCTGAGGGGGAGGCACGCCCATTACTGGGGCCCCAGCCCGAGAGAGGAGGCGCTCTATCAGCAGGGTCCAGCCTATCTCTGGGGGCCCTGGCTTCCGTCCTCCCCTCGGGGAGGCTCAGGGACAGGCCCCACTGGCCGTGCAGGGGCCTCCCGCAGTGTGGCCGTGAACTTCCCGGGGGTTGTGTGACATGTTCCCCGGGCAGGTTTTCGCTGGGACCCCACGTCTACACACACCATCCTCCCAGGTGCAGGGGCTCACGCCCTGTTCTGGGGGTGGCAGCCCCGGCTTCCCTGTGGGCATGAGGTAACTGGCTAGGTCTCACTTACCGTGAGTCGGCCATGGCCGGGCCCCGCGGGCCCCCTCCCGCTGCATCCTCAGGACACGGTCTTTGAGGCCCTGTGGCCCGGAGGGAAACAGGGAGCCCAGCGCCACGTCATCGAAGCAGGCGAGGCTGGGCACCATGGTCAGCCAGTTCAGGAAGCTCAGGTTCCCGCTGAGGATGAGGACCACCTGTATGGGTGCAGGCCCGAGTACAGCCTCCTGCCTCCACCCCCGCCTGGCCCTGTGTGAGCGTGCGGCTCCTGCAGGACCCCCGTCACGGCACAGCCATCGACAGGGCGTCAGGCCCAGCCAGACCTTGCCACCGTGACTCCTGAAGGCAGCCCAAGGCCGAGTCTCGCTCTGAGGTTTCAGGGCCCATGCCCAGCCTGGGACCCCTGGATGAGAAGCCCCAGGAACTTGAGGGCACACGCAGGAGCTCTCACGGGGCTGGTGACAGCAGCTGGTTGGCTGGGGCCACAGGCCTGGGACCCTTTTCAGTAACTGCACTGGCCCAGTCCTGGAGCGATCCAAAGTACAGCCCAGGACCGCACAGCAGTGAGTGACCACAGAGCAGCCCCGTCCTACAGCACTGAGTGACCACAGAGCCCCCGTCCCACAGCACTGACCACAGAGCCCCCGTCCCACAGCACTGACCACAGAGCCCCC